CTTCTGTTGGTGTTGGGCGAGATCGTACATATTTAATAACAATGAATGCACAGAACAACTTTGGAAAGAAAATTAGCAACTGAAGAATGATTTACAAATAAATTATGAATATTGTATATTTTGTTATAAACATTATGTCCCAAATTAAGCCCAAAGGAATAGTTTTTCATTTGTTCTAAATAAAATTAAAACCAACTGGTACTTTTAAAAAATACGAGTTACTTCTAAACAATCTCCGCTAATTTAGAAAAAAATTCCTTTTGAATTTAAAAATAATTAACGCAAAAGAGGCGACACTGTAATCAAGTAATATCAGAGAAATCTTTCTTTAATGGTAAATGTTGAACAAAATTACTTCATGATTTAGCATTTTTATATTTACAAAGAAGGAACTTTTCTTCCAAAAAAAAAATCAACATTTTGAATCAACGGTGATAAAATTTCAGTGTGTAAAAGTTATAAACAATATCACCTTTTTCTTAACAGAAATAAAAACATAAACAAAAGTTATCCTGTTCTATGTCCTGATTTTTTGCAAATAAGGAATAAAAATGACTCATAGCTACTGATGAATCTTTAAGTAGCTAGTAATAATTAATATAATAACTTACTTAATAGTCAGATACTCTTGATAATACCTCGCTCACTGAAGTAGACAAAAGCTTCCAAAAAATGTGTCGTTAACAAGTTCACATGAAAATTAACAGTATATACTGGTACATAAAAATTATTTTTTAAAAAATTGCCAATGTTTTATCTTTTTTGTACTTGCAGGATATGACACAAGTTCCACAAAAAAAAAATGAGTAACACATATTCAACTGAACATTAGTTAATTAAAAGAAAAACGGAGTGGAAAGTTCTTCAGACGGTGCATTTAAAATTGGCAAGTACAAGGTATCAAAACCCCAACTTGCAGGCTCGATGGAAGGTCTAGCACCAAAGTGTAGGAAGGTTTGGTTGCTACGGGTGTCATAGCACTTTCCCAGGAACTTTCTTTCACGATAATCTTTTCCTTTTCTTCATTCCATGTGGAAAATACATACTTATTTCAGTATACACTTACATTTATTTAAAAAAATATATAAATTACGAAATCTTCTTATGATATTGGGTTAACTCTAATGAAATCTTAATACTGTTTATGCAATACTTTTTGTATCCCATTTTGAGCTGTTTTTATACTGTTTACTTCTATTTCTAGATTTTTAATTGTGGTAACAAGCAAGAAAACTGTTATAGCCATAGTTCCTCATTTCAGTGAACTCTCACTAACTAAACTGCCAAACTCTGCCAGTGAATCTTGTTTTTAATATAAATATTTATCTTTTAGCAACTAAAAAAAAAACATGATGCTGAATAGATAAAATGTTCACTGTCCAGTAACTAAACTTAGTGGTCAAGTGGATATTACTTTCATTCAGGGATCAAAATATTACATTCCTGCATTCCCAAGGAATTTAACTTTGCTTGAGAAATTTCATCTTTTTTAGTTGGCTTTCCTGATCGGGAATGCGTGGTCCATCTGTATTCCTTTAGTTATGACCAATGAAAGTGAACATATTGAATGGATTAAGTAAAAAAAACAATGAGAAAATGCAACTTTACACGAATGAATGTAATCTTCCTGGCAGCGAGTGTAATTTTATTTCATTACTTCTATCCCTATCATTATGAGACGACATTAAAAATAAAACTAATCTTTCATTTTCTTTTTTTTTAAGTTTAGATAAGTTGAAACTAATTATTATTGTATTCTGGCAGAACCATTATATTCGTTTTAAATGATAAAACGTATTTTAATGACAATAACAAAAGTCTTCAAACAAAATCTTGTTTTAACTATGTTTGAATGCCATTTAATCAGTCAAAACCCCAACAAAAGTCTTCAAACAAAATCTTGTTTTAACTATGTTTGAATGCCATTTAATCAGCCACTCATCAATGTTGCACCTTCACAAGATTGGGTGATTGATATATTTGGCACATTGCTCTATAATTGATTTTATTGTGATAGATAAGCCAAGATCCATTTTCTCTTTCACCACAGTAGATTCAATGGACCATTCAACAATAGAATTTACTGGCAAAAGGTAATGGAATACTGTTACTAGTTGGGACTTATGGAATACATCCGTTATTTTACCTGCTTCAACAGAAATAGAATTTAGCTTTTGCCGTTACTCCTTTTAAACATTCTTGGTAGATGAAATACAAAGATCCATGAATTCATTTTGTATTATTTTAGATGTTCTTTTAAAAACTGGCAATAGAACAGTTAAATAAACCTCATAACATTTAAGACTGTACAATGGATCTATCTATAAATTAACTGTGAAAATTATAAGGGTATTATTATTATACTGGTGAAGCTTGTGAATATCTATAAACAATGAACACTTAAAAGGAGTATCACATGTAAAAGAACAAATACAAAAATGCTAACTATAAAACAATTAATGGAAACAAAAAAAAATTGTGAGTAAAGAACAAGATGTACGTAAAATAAAAATTATGTATGCATTATTATTAAAAATATAAAAACCTAACATATAAAAGATGTCCCCTTTATCTTTATTCAATTACCTCTACCACACTTGGTTTTTGTTTAAATGGTAACATACAGTCTTTTTTTTTTAACCAACTAACCAATTTTCCTGAAGAAGTGAAATGTCTTATATCAGGATTTCTTTTGAGTTGCTTGTGAGAAGCTGAATTTTTTACTGAAGTTTAGAGAAATGCTCAAGTTTACTCGTTACTGTAATTAGACAACTGTTTACACAGAAAGAAAGAAGTGCAATAGATGTTTTAACTGCAATTTAAAATGGTATAGTATCAAGAAATGCAGGCAAAAGCCTTTAGGTGATAAAAACTACTGCTAAAGTATAATAAATGAAGAAAATTGCTATCAGTGTTGAAAACATGGATATCAAAGCTGAGATTATGACAAATTAACAGATGATAAGCTACCAATGAGAATACATCCCCGAGGATGAGTCTCAGAACTCAGAAGCAACCAAAGAGATTATATCCCTGAGGATGAGTCTCAGAATTTAGAAACAACCAAAGAGATTATATCCCTGAGCTTGAGTCTCAGAACTCAGAAGCAACCAAAGAGATTATATCCCTGAGGATGAGTGTCAAAACTTGGAAACAACCAAAGAAATTATATCCCTGAGGATGAGTGTCAAAACTTGGGAACAACCAAAGAAATTATAGCCCTGAGGATGAGTGTCAAAACTTGGAAACAACCAAAGAAATTATATCCCTGAGGATGAGTGTCAAAACTTGGAAACAACCAAAGAAATTATATCCCTGAGGATGAATGTCAAAACTTGGAAACAACCAAAGAAATTATATCCCTGAGGATGAGTGTCAAAACTTGGAAACAACCAAAGAAATTATATCCCTGATGATGAGTATCAGAACTTGGGAACAACCAAAGAAATTATGTCACTGAGGATTAGTGTCTGAGTTTGGAAACAACCAAAGAAATTATGTTGCTGAGGATGAGTCTCAGAACTCAGAAACATCAATGGGGCAACAGATAGCTAATTCACATGCCAGGGCAAAATTCAGCTGAGAATACTCCCTCTGTCCCAGTTTACAAGTTGGTGTATTTACGTGTTGATTGATACTGTTTATAAATATATCACTGGTCGACTTGATCTTATAATGAAAACTGGAAAACTGTCTTCAGAAATGAAGCTTTCTAAACGTTCCACAAAGAGGAAAGTTGAAAAGTACCCTCACTTTGGGAAGTTTCTCTATACAATATGATGCATGGGTAAATGGTACTAAGGATGAGACTTGCTTCAAATAGTTTCACAGTCTTTGGTCAGAAAATTCCTGTGACCTACACGACACTAACACCACCACAGGTTGAATTACGGGAAACCAGACTTCCTTCAAACAGTTTCACAGTTTTTGATCAGAAAATTCCTGTGACCTACACGACACTAACACCACCACAGGTTGAATTTCTGGTGACAATGAGAGAAGCACAAGTTAGTAAGGACAACCAACCAAAAGTGCAACAGAGAAGAATAAAAAAAAAGTGATCCAAGCCAAACGTCATCTACCATGATCTATCAAGAAAACACCTCCAGTGAAATGATAGCAATGATGATACAGGGCCAGATATCATCTCATTTTCTTATCATTAGCCATGGAAGAGAAAACTAACAAAAAAGGTTTTGGTGACAAGATAGTCTAAGGACAACAAGCGAGTGAGAACAGAAGGCTTTGTTAACCAAAATTGTTATTGTACCCTAAGTTTATATAATTCAAAATTGATTTAATGATTGTAATCTCTAGGTGTAAATGAATATTAATGCTGTTAATTTTCAAAAGCTACTTTATTCTTAATTCAAATTTAATATGCCATTATTTTTCTTGAGTAGTAGGATTATTCAAAAGCCTCAAAATTCAGGAAGGGGAAAGTGTTGTGGGAACTTTTGTCAACTCTGACTTCTTCAAAAATCTATATTGTTGCTTAACAAGAAGGAAGTTTAATTAACTGAAAGGCATAATCTAGTGACTAAAACATTACCGAAATTTTAACAAAACGTTATCCGAGACACATAAAAAGCAAGTTCTATTAATCTTAAGGGCTATGTATTGAACTTTAAGATAAACACGTCTACTGAATTATCTCAGAACTTGCCAAAATCAATACATATGTGACCAAAATATATTTTAATTTTATATAAACTATATAACTTATGTATAATAACGTATTTTACTTTTTATATCAGTCTTCAGCTACAAAAGTTGTCATCTGATTACAAAACTAACGTTAGCACTTTAATATACATGTCTAGACATTGTCTGAAATGCAGAAAAATCAAAAGAACTGGGGTTAAGTATACAACATTTTAAACATTTAACATTTTTCTAAGTTTCTAGCACATTTACGATATACTTGAATGAAAAGAAAACTGATTTATATAACTAAATATAATCTTATTACAAATTATTAATCTTAGAATCAAAAATACCTTAAAATAAAGCCTTATTTGCAGGCTTTTGTGACTGACATATTGTTTTTTCAAGTTCAGCAAATGAGATACATAATTTTCTCTTTTGTTTTTTCATTCCAGTAATTGGAAACAATCTGTGAACAATTCGAAGATCTACACGATGCCATCTTGCAATCCTTTTCATACTCTGCCTTCTGGTGCCAGGTGGCCAAGAAAGAACACTAGGTTCAATTACCTTTTTCTTTGTATTCACCACTCCCTAGTTTTAAAATTGTGGAGATGTTATTGAGTTCAATTTAAAATGTTACTCTTTAATGAAAACAACAACAACTAAGACATAAAAACAGTCAACACCAGTAAAGAGTAACTAATATGACAAGTAAATGCTGACTGATTGTTGAAGTTATTCTTACCCATAAACTTGTTTTACAATCGTGACTAACAATCATACAGTAAAAGATGGCCCTTTTTCTCTTTTGAAGAACTGGGACACAGATCACGCACATGCCAAGCTATAGTTTAAACTCTTAACATTTGAAAATATGAAAAGCTAGAAGATTTTATTAAGCCTACTTTGTAGATTGGAGGTTATTCTAAACAGGGTAAAGGCTGTGGATAAAAAGAAGGGTAGAATGAGAGAAATGGTGGGAGGATTTCAAGAGGGCTTTTTAGGAAGAAGTAGTAGTACTAATAGGAGTATAAGTAGTAGATTTAATTATATTGAGTACTGAGCATGTTCTATTAAGTCACAGATTTCAACCTTTAGCTTGTGCAGATGAGGAGGTAGCGGCGAGAAGGAGACAAAAGGAACAGGAATGAAAAACATAAGGAGGTTATAGTTATAGTTGATTCTTTAGAACAGCATATAAATAAACTACTCTGTGGGATAAATAGGGAGAAAAGAATTAGGTTTTGCTATCCAGGGACAAGGTTGAAGAATATAGCTGACAAAGTAAGTGATATAGTAGACGGTGCTAGCAGTGATGGTGTCTCTAAAGTGTACATAGGGGATATTGGGTAAAGGTCAATCGAGAAGCTAATTGATAAGTATGAGGGGTTGATGATGACATTCAAAGAAAAGGGCCATAAAAATTCAATTCTGTCAAGAATATTACCAAGACTTAATCGTGAAGATGAAATTAATGGTAGGTCACTAGGGCTTAACGGAGGAGCAGGTTGGCTGGTTGAATTTGTGGGATCAGTTCAATAGGAAAAGGAAGTTTTGGGAATGGATGGTTTACATTTAAATAGAGTAAGTTTGCAGCTTTAAACTAGGACTAGACAGTGATGACGGCCAGAATAACGAAGAATAAATAAAATGTAAAGATTATTCAAATAAGCACATTCACTCAATTCAGTTAGACAAAAAAAGGGTTACAAAAAACCTATTCAGTTCAGTAAGATTACTTTCACAGTTATAAAACTGATGTAGAAATTCTAGTTCATAAATAATTAACTTAGGTAGCTTTAATATAAATGTAAAATACATGAAGATAAACATGATATTCTCAAAACTTGCCAGAATCAATAGATAAGTGATACATGTATATTTTAGTGTTGTATAAAACTAACATGAACCAAACCAGTTTGTCTGTTAAAATGTTAAGAATGAATTTTACCATGAAAGCTAATCTATCACTAAAACATGTATCAATCATCTGATGCAGAAACTTTTACTTCAAAACGTAACTGTCTATACCAAGTGTGGGCAATAATTTTCGTAGGGATCCACTCCACAAATGTTGGTAAGTCATCATGGGCCACGCATTTCTATTATATTAATTAAATTACCTCAATATAAATTGTATAAAGACCCCATTATGTTATCTCCACAACTGCCAGAAGTCGTGGCAGGCAGGACAGAAATGTTAGATGGACCGATTCCGGCCCATTTGCCCACCCCTGGTTTAGAGTGACTGATATGGTTCAAACTAAATATAATTAGAACTAAATAAAGTTGATGCATATATTTTTATAAATATACTTATTTTACTTAAAAAACTAAAGAAAGTTCCATTAAAAATGCATTTTTGTAATACTAGAAATTATAGATAATTCAAGAATAATTTAAACATAAAACCTAATTTACAAACTTTTGTTACTTACAAATCGTTCTTAAGAGTTCAGCAAGTGATGTTTAAATCTTTTAACATTACTGTAATTCTTACAAATTTAATACTGGAGTTAGGGATGTCAAAAAATTGAAGGTTCACTCTTAAAACAAAGAAATATAATTTTGTAGTCTATTCGTGTCAAGTTCTCACAGTCTTGAATACAAAACTAAAGTTCAATTAATTACACACTTCATTTCCTTTAGCACAAGTTTAACACAAATCATAAACCACACATACAGCTAAAATTACTTTAACAAGTTACACATGAGCATATTATTGCCAAATGGTAATCCCCCAAAACAACATTTTAACACATTTTTTAGGAAAATATTACACTTCATAAAAGTTATGAATGAATTGAGACTTGTAAAAAGGAAATTATGAGTTAAATATTGCCACCATTTACAAGTGAATCCTGCCTGCGTGTAAAATTTATTCTTACTATTTGATCTGCCTTTTGAGTCTAGTTACTGAAGGCCTTGTTAAACATTCTCATTAATCATTATAATGATGAAATACTGAAAATATTTTTACTAAAAGCTTAACTCAACACTTTCTAAATAAGTCAAACAGCTGAATAATTTCATAACTATCAGGATGGGGGGGATCATATAGTTGGATCTTAGGTCAAGAAAAACTACCCAGGGTGACCACTGCTATACCGTGACTGGTCTTTACCAATGAAACATGAGGGAGGACACGATCTCAAGAGATCACCTGACTGATAGTGGAAAAGACAACTGTTATAAATTCACATACTACATGGTAAGGTAGTCTCGGACAAATGTAATGTATATAGAAGACTGAAGATAGAGCAAAATAATATTTTCTTCAAAAATATTATGATAAATTAAAAACTCACCGTATGTTTTTGAAGAGTCCTTTTTCATAGGTATGACTATCAAACTTTCAATCAAAAAGTTAAAAAAATAAAAGACCCAATCCTCGAGTGTTTTCGAACAGTTGACTATTTTTCTTCAGGTAAATATATTACATGATATTCACTAATTAAGCATCAACTAGTTAATCATCAACTTTAATTATCTCGAAGAAGAATAGTCAACTGTTCGAAAACACTGGAGTTTTAGGTCTTTACGTTTTGTAATTCATTGTGCCTCTCGTGTGCTAACTCTTTTATCAGAAACTTTCCCTAGCCCATTAGTGAACGGTGCTCGATATAAGTGGATTAAAGACCCTAATTCTAACAGTTAGACTTGCAAGTGAAGGCAAGTATATTCTGGAGGGTAGCAGAAAGTACTGGTAAATTACACTTGCTCATTTGCAGATGGATGGTAAAAACCAATGGGGAGGTGTCATAAATTTGTCTTAAAGAGATTTCAAACTTCATAGTCTTTATCTTCTCAGAGAAGGACAAGCTCCCTCCCAGGCTCTACCTTCTTTGTAACTCTACAATATACACTACTTTGCCACCTTTCAATATGCTGGAACTACCTCTGATAAGTTATATTTTTTACATAAGTATCTCATCTATTTAAATGTTTATTAATTACTAACTGCCATTTTAAAAAAAACTTGAGTAAAATCTAAGATTAAACTTCTTTTTTTTATTGTATTATGCCCTCAGTAAAAGATGTTTAGGCTATCGATATATCAACAGTTACAAACAAACCTATCAAACTATTTTATGTAAAAAAAAGGGTTCAAAAACATCCAAAATATTTTTTCTTTTTTGAAGTAATATCTAATTCCATTTGTTGTTACTTAAATAATTTAACTTTACTGTAAAGTTAAACATAACAGATTTCCCAAGTATCACACAAATTCAACAACACTTTGAAATGCTGTACTTTTTAATATCTTCTACTAGATTAGACTAAATTAACAAAGATTTATCACAAATCATCTGTTAAAACACCCGAGCTCTTATAAAACTGAAATAAAAATTATTCCTTGTATGTAAGTTATTAACTTAAAGTGCGTGAAGAATAATGTAGCAAAAAAATTAACTGTCACCGATATAATTAGAAAACTTACGAGAATCAATAAATATGCAGCTCAAGTAAACTTCAGATTTATATAACATTAAAAACACAAAACTAGTTTTTCTGCAGTCTTTTAAAATATTAAGAATGGCTTTTACTGAGGAAATACGTCTTTAAATGTAGAATATATATCATCTCATCGTAGAATTTATTTTAAAACTCTACACACTGTCAACTAGGATACAATTCATAAACATCACAAAAGCAAAACCCAAATTTTCAAGTTTCTATTACTTACATGTTTTTTAAAGTTTCTATTACTTACATGTTTTTTCAAGTTTCTTTTATTTTTAGGTTTTTTCAAACTCAACGAACGATCCTTAAGATATTCTAAGTGTTCCAAACTTGAAACTTTCCCAAGTTTAGGACAGACAATGGTGTTGCCATAATACCGGTATGTAACCCTTTTCTCTATTTTCCTTCTGCTACTGATCTGTTAAGAATGAATTCAAGCATTAATTTCAACTGTTCTAATTTCTTCTCTGTTTGAAAATTTTGAAGACATTACTTCGGTCACTTAAAAAAAAGAAGTGAAAAACAAAAGTAATTTGAAAAAGTATAAATATTTCATATCATTCTGCAAACTAACTATTTTTTCAGTCTATTCAAGTAAAGTTCTCACAGTTTTGGTGAATCAATAAACTTCAAGTATGAAATTAATATTAAACTTTTAGTCTATGATTATAAACTCAAATTATCATCACAGATACAAAAAAAAAGAAAACTCAAATTATCATCACAGATACAAAAAAAAGGAAAAAAAGTTCTTTGTGAACAGGTTTTCATCAGGGAAAACATCTTAGAAAAATGTTGTTCTTTATAAAACCTACAAACATTTATGAATGAATGAATGTATTTACGATCTTAAACACACTATGAATTAATAAAATGACCTAGCCATTCTGGTAATGAAATCTGAACAATAAACAAGAACGCTTAAAAAAAATGTGAATAGTTTTTAAATTTAAACAATTATTGACAAAAATGTGTGTTTGTCCACTTATAACTAATGAACTGCTGGAATGATTGTCACCAAATCTGTCATGTATTTTCAGGGCACTGGGGAGTGACACGGGTGTGTGTGTGTGTTCAAACCTAATTTCATATCTTCCTTGTGTGTGTGTGTGTGTGTGTGTGTTGAAATCTGACCATCATGACTTCCTCGTACATTGTATCTTCTTTCAACTGTGGTGAACTGCTAGAGAGAGTGTCACAAAAACTTGCAGGTACCCTTAGGGCCTCCCAGGAAATTACATAGGGAGACTGTGTTCCAATCTGACTCCCCCTCATTCCAATCTCCCCATACATGGAATAAGTACGTCATGTAGTACAAGTTCATTAAATTTTAAGAGTCTTAATATGTTTTTATGTAGCTAATATTCACTGATATTCACAATAGGCCTAATTTCACAAATACTACAATAAACAGTCACTTACTTGTTAATTTTCTCTCAACCTCCTGTAGCCAATAAAATTACAAACATCTAAATTAAAAATCCTGCAAAGATAGCTTACAACAATATATATATATATATATATAAATAAAGCATAGCTAGAGTCGTTTAGTTGACTAATGAGAAACAGTTTTAAACCTGTACAGGGTAAACACTGGCTTGTTAGTTAATATGTTTTGTTTTTTTTATAAATCTAATTAGCACAGTTTTCTTAAATTTTTTTAATGCGATCTGATTACCTATAACTTTGACATTTCAAAAACAATTTATAACATAACGACAAAATATAAGGAGAGAAAATGTGTTCTTTGAGCCAACAATTTAAATTGTGACTCATTTCTCCTATAAAAACATTTTGAATAATCTTCACATTTAATCTGATAGACAGTTTTTGGGTTGGGAGACTTCCAAAATACATTTGCAGGTGATGGTAGCAGAAACAGAGGTACAGAAAAGTTAATATTTTTAAACACCAGTCATAAAAAACTTGTTATTTTATCAAGCTTATGCTCTTAGCAACAACTCTCTAGAATTACCTTTAACAAAGTTGAGTTCTCTTCAGAACTCTAGATGGAATTCACATAAAAAAACAACAACATGAAATATCGCTATCATTTCAGTTACCTTGTGTGGTAGACTTTCGTCAACTTTTCTTATATTTTCACGTGTTTAATAGTATATTATGTCAAATCTTGGTAAACCTATTTCTTTTTACATCCTCGAATAACAACTTACACAAAGACTCCTGCATATTAATAGCTTGGCATACTGTCCTTGATACTTAGAATCTGAAAAACAGAATGTATTATATACTTTTTCTAATGAGAATAACACGTTCATTTTGCATGTCTGCAGGAAGTTGTTTTATGGAGTACATAATGCCATATTTGCTAATTCTTTAACATAAAGTAGTAGAGCCAACAACCTTTTGAACACAATGGACAGGTACATTTGTTAACAGTGATATCAGCAATTTGAACATTTCTTACCTTTTGAACATAACAGCCAGGTATTTGTTAAAAGTGAGTGATAACAGCAATTTGGAAATAATTCCAAAAATGATTTGTGGAAAGTAAAGGAAAACTAAACTAATGGTATGTACGCTTGTGATATAGGAATTTAAAAAAAATTGTTTAGTTAGTTTCTATGCAGTTTCGGTACATACACATGGCATAGAAAGGTGTTGATGTTGCTTTGTTAATTTGTTCTCTATAGTAGATGATGTCTCTTCTGCCCATGGGGATATTGCAGTAGCATACAGCTTACAGGTTGAAAGGATTAGTGGCTGTAATGTCCTCTGCTAACCAAGTTGACATTATCTGACTGTCAATTGAACAAAGAAAGCAAGTTCACTTGTAGAATTCAGGTACATACGATCTAGAAAGGTGTTGATTTTGCTTTGTTTATTTGTTCTCCACAGTAGATATTGTCTATTCTGCCCAAGAGGATATTGCAGTAATATACAGCTCACAGGTTGAAAGGATTAGTGACTGTAATTGCCTTTGCTAACTAAGTTAACATTGTCTGAATGTCAACTGGACAAAGAAAGTTAGCTCATCTGTAGAATTCAGGTAAACTTTCTTAGTTCACAGAACTCATTGGAGTTCTTTGAGTAAAGACATATTTTAAGATCAGCACATTGAATTCGCTGGAAGTCTATCTCAAGAAAAAGAAAGCTGTGGAGCTAATCACAATCAAGTAGAAGTGACTATCATTTTACATGCCCAACTACTCATGCTAAATTTTCTTTTTACTTGTTTTATAATAAAGATTGTATTCATTTTATGAAGTTTGTTGAGTCTTATCATTTCACACACATTAAGAAAACTCAGTCAAGTTACCAAACACAGATTACTCCCATTACTTTTTGGGTAAATCTGTTGTAACTAGCAGTTCTAATTATCTACTACTTGTCAAGAAATCAGTTCCACTTCAAAATACCATATATTGTTGTTTTTCAGTGAAGGGAACTATAAGAATTCTTTTGTTTAAAAGTTGGTCTTTTAAGATATCATAAGTACGGTAGTATTTATAGTAGGAATGGGGTGGATATACAATGCATGCAATTCAAACTACTCACTCATATACACCTTTAACACCCAAGTAATAAATCTTTAAAAGTATTAGAGAGACAAACTTAGGTGATAAACAAACCACATACAAAATTATAAGTCATAGAAGCTCTTGAGAAAGTCACAGAGCAGATACAAAAAATTCACAAAACCACAAATTTCTCAATCTCACTGACTGACTGACATTGTTGAATGCTTCTAGCTGTGTAACAAACAGGTTTACGATAGTTATAAGTGCACCAAATAGAACAATAGCACAGAAACCACATCACCAAATAATTAAATTAGTTAACTAATCTATCAGCCCTTAGAATATGCACACCACCACAATTCACACATCACCCAAATGACACTGCACACTATAGTGTGTGCCATCACATTCACAGCACACACACACACACACACATCATTATTTGAACATACCATAATATGATGATATACATGGAGAATATCAACACAAATTAATGAATGATGCATAAGATCATGTCATCTTGTATGAAAAAGTGCATGAACAAGTGGAAAGTTATTAACAAAGAAATGAAAGTGTAGGAATGGGTGCACCAAAAAGTGAGGAAACAAGGTAGGAATGGGCATGGTGTAATAAAACTTCCTCCGTACAACCATACAAGGGGGCATGTCCAACATCTGGTCTATGCCTACTTCATTTTTCTGTGTTCATACAACTTTTAGGTATACACAAAAGTATGTCCATGATTCTTCTACTGTGTATAAACAGTAACGAATCCATAACATCGATACACAGAAATCTCTTCAGATTTTTTTATCTTTGTATTTTAATCCACCTATATAGCTAATGTACAAAATTCTGTTGCCTTCTCATGCAATTGCAAAAGAAGGGACAAGTTGTAAAAAAAACAAAAAACACAAGTTATGGTTCCACACGAATATCTGGTTCTTTTGGTGTTATATCAATAGACTTCACAGTACATGTATTGCCTCCAATAATTTGATTCATAGAACCCTCTAGTCATTGTATGATAAGCATAACTAAGTTTGATAAGTATAGCCCACCTGGTTTATTGTATAGAGGATAGAAAGGATAAATGAAGTAGACATAGACCAGATGTTGGACATGCCCCCTTCTGAGGTTGTATGGAGGAAGTTTTTATTACACCACGCCCATTCCTACCTTGTTTCCTCACTTTTTGGTGCATCCATTCTTACACTTGCAATTTCTTCTTTTCCCATTTGTTCTTATTGATGAAGTGTATGTCTGGTGTTGGAGATTACTGAAACAAAAATCAACTGCTAGTGAAATGAGAGGCTTTGGATGTTGGAAATAATATTAATAAGCCTCACAAATGCATTTTATCATATTGTTATTTTAATGATGATATTTTATTTTGCCTTTTGATAAACTTAAAAAATTTGGACAAGCTGATGAAAACTCTTTGATTTCACACATTCTTATTACATAAAAACTGCTTTATTATAGAAGTAATAAGTAATAAAAAAGTAGTACATAATACCTTAAGCTTTCAGGTAGAGCTAAGGTTTTTAAAAAATAAGTCAGTGAGGAATTTTGTTGGAAAAATATAAAGAATGCTAATTTTTCCAAAATGACCAAATTTTATTAACTGTGTCAATTAATTTGATACGTCTGTGATGAAAACTTGCGTCTATATACAAAGATAAAAGCAGCATACACTTAAATAATTTTTTTTTCACTTACACGTCTGCGAATAATCTTACGAATATCTTCCACGGCAGCTTGAACACCCTGCTGATATCCAGTAATGATGACTCTGTTGTCTGGGTCCTCATTTTTCGGAATGTGTACGTGCACCTTACGTTTTCGTTGGATTCTGGATATTACATATCCTCTTGATCCAATGATGTGTTTATACTTAACTTTGAAGGGCAAATTAATTCGATGTATCACCTGCATTAAAAAAACTTTACAAATAAGTTTAAAAAAGTTTCTTATTTCACCCATACAGTAGAAACTTCTTAAACCAAAATAAAATAAATAAGAAAACATTCCAGTCAGTTGATGTATGTATATATGTACATATTTGATATCAACTTTTATGCTTATAAACTACTGAAAAATTATACCAATTTAAATAAAAAAGATAGCTACCACACTTTCTTGTAAGTTTGTAATCATGCAAATGATTATTTTCCTATATTTCAAAGCAGTAATTTTCATTAAAATAGCCTGCTGTTACTTATTAGAAATTGGATCAAATCGGAATTGATGGTAAAGGAGTTATTAGATGAACCTGTTTAACTTCATTAAAGACCAAAGTTATTTTTATCTTATTAAACTCTAAGATGTATATTACAACTATCAGTTGACTTCTTAAGGTTTAAGGACTGTAATATTTATGTACTGAGATTCTCAAATATATCAGGATTAGAAGTCATGGGATATTTTTATGAACTGGACTGATTCTCACAGTGTGATTTCAGAAAAAGTCCTCTAGTCCCTGTTAAAAGTAAGAGGTTTTTGTTTTTTTATGGAGAAGTTGTTTTCTATGTATATTATTTTCAGTATAAACAAAAGTGAGATAGAATCCAACATGAAAAACTTATATTTCCTACAACCACCTATTCAACTACAAAAAAAGAAAAAAATGAGTAAAGGGCAAAAAAATCAGAAAAACTTAATTTAAAAAAAATGTTTAGGAAAACTAATAACTAGCCTGTAATTTAGTGAGTTGGGCAAATAAATGGCAGACTGGTATAATATTAAGAATGTTGGTGAAAGTTTAGAAACAGAGATCCTGGACTGGTATAATATTATGAATGTTGGTGAAAGACTAGAAACAGAGATCCTGGACTGGTATAATATTATGAATGTTGGTGAAAGACTAGAAACAGAGATCCTGGACTGGTATAATATTAAGAATGTTGGTGAAAGACTAGAAACAGAGATCCTGGACTGGTATAATATTATGAATGTTGGTGAAAGACTAGAAACAGAGATCCTGGACTGGTATAATATTA